GATATACCTACTCATATAACACTAATTCATTATATACAGATCTTCGGATGTGGTTGTCAAGTTATCTATTATTTTATAACTTAGTTTATTAGGAAACTCGTGGATACTTCGATTGCATTCTGATGATCAAGAAGTTTTCATCGAAAAAAAATGTTTCTAACCGTCATTCTGTTGCCCCCTTACGAGCAACCCTCAGAGGTCTTCGAAAGACTTCTGGATCACGGAATGACAGGGACCTTACCTTCAACGTGTATTCTCTAACACTTTCTTGGACCATCAGAAAAATTTCTGCAATCTAGGATTTGAACCCACGACCGGCAAATGATTGCATTGAATACTATTTATATGGTAACTACATTAGGAATACTTTTGAATAAGTGTACTACGAGAATCTTGATGAAAATTGGAACTGGTTGGTGAATAGTTATATTTACTTGAAAATTGACCAATTTTTCTAGAATTTCAATCGTTCATAGTTGGCTGTACGCTATAGTGCAATGAAATCATCAAATACTCAGGAATATTGATGGCATTGCAAAATTCGAACCCGGTATAAACAAATAATACAATAATAATTTTGGATTTTTTGTTTCTAATCATTAACCTATATATTATCTTTCATGAGATCCATTCAGGATAATTTACCCATAGGAATTTATAAGTTCCCATTATACTCGATACCACGGTATCAGTTACACTTCATTGAGTATCACTTTCATATACTGGGAGTAGCTCAATTTTATGAAAATTGTATGCGTATACAGGGCGTCTGTAAAAGGTCTTTACAGAGACATACCACATATTCCTTAGACCAAAATAAGTCGATATAAGTAAAATTACCTAAGTACGAAGTTGCATCGTTTGGGCTCCAGAGGGCCTTGAAGTTACAATTCTCAAATCGTTTTTCCCATATAAATTCGAAACAAGATAGGCGATTTCGCTGAAATTTGGTATGTTGATAAAATTTAAGGTGGCAAAAAAAATTTTGTTGCACCAACAAAAATTCTACGCCACTGGAAGAAAAGGAGTTTGAGAATAAAATTAAGATTGCGCAACTCATTTACTTTAAAAAAGGTGCTCCTGATAAGACTCGATTGCTCTCATGGATTTGACGATATTTGCATTTTAGTAATTTTAGAACATAAAAAATAATTATTAAAATACAAACTTTGTCAAAACCATGAGAGTAAATCGATTGTTATCAAGAGAACTTGTCTGTAGTAAATGAGAACCCAATCCAAATTTCATACTCAACACCTTTTTTGCCATTGGCGTAGAACTTGATTTTTTAAATAATTGCACCTTTAAAAATTAAACGCCAATGGCAGAAAAAGGGTTAGAGTATGAAGTTTGGATTGGGTACTCAGTAACTGCAAAAAAGTACCCTTGATAACACTCGATTTACTATCATGGTTCTGACAAAGTTTGTATTTTAATAACTATTGTTTATGTTCTAAAATTACTAAAATGCAAATTTCGTCAAAACTATGAGAGCAATCGAGTCTTATCACGGGCACTTTTTTCAATGAAAATGAGTTGCGCAATCTAAATTTCATACTCAAACTCCTTTTCTTCCATCGGTGTAGAATTTTCAAAGGTGCAATTATTTAAAAAATCAAGTTCTACGCTTATGTATTATTATCGGACAAAATTTTGACACAATTGCTTTTGCCACATGAAACTCTATCAATATCCCAAATTTCAGCAAAATCGCATATACCGTTTTGAATTTATATGGGAAAAACGATTTGAAAATTGTAACTTCAAGGCCCCCTGGAGCCCAAACGATGCAACTTTGTACTGAGGTAATTTTACTTAAATCGACTTATTTTGGTGTGAAGAATGTGTGGTATGTTTTTGTAAAGACCTCTCACAGGCACCCTGTATAACTACTGTTTCCTGTTTCAAACTGAAAAATAAAATGGAATAAATCAAACAATGAACAATATTATATTTTGAGTTTGTTTACGTTGATTTATCTTGTGGAATAGATTTCTGTTATGAAATGACATAGCATGAGATGAATTCAGTGATATTCAGTACCTATTCATGAAATGATGTTATCTCATGTGTTTTGTGTATGTCAACAAGAAGTATAGTGATACTTATTTCACAAATCATTACCGGGATCATTTTACAACATATTGATGCAGTATGAGGCTACAATAATCAAAGAGAAGGCATGTTTCGGGATCTTGAGACTTATCACCAGCCGAAAATGTTGCAAGGGAGGATAAAATGGCAAAACATTATGTTAAATAATAAAAATAAATGACAAATCTCCGAAACATACTTATATGATAATATGACCAGAATCGACCGGTCTTATTAGTGATACCCTGAATTCTTTTAATCAATCTATTGGAGTAGGCATACCAGCTATGCATATTTCCAATAAACATGTAGGTATTTGTATGAATATCAGGAGTTATATATTTGCCGTGACTTCTCCATGATTGGAACTATATAAAAATGATTATGGAGAAATCAAAGCCTTCAGCATTCATAAACTTTTCATTTACCTATGTCTCCACCCTATGATGTGTATATATTATATAGGTATTTTCCACCGCTCTTTATAATTATTCAGTGAACTCAGTGCAGCGAATACTGAAAAAGCGATGATTAATGCGGCTGTCACCAGACATTTTGAGGCGAATTTGTCCCGTGATCACTCTCATATCCTCCGAGAGTTCTCCGCATATTCTAATCCAGATCACGTGCCCTATTTGCATCAGAGCTGTCAACATTTTTCGTTCATCATAATGATTATAAATTCATTCATATTGCTGGGAATATATCAAAGATATAGTTTATCTTCTGGTAGTCTATGACTATATCAATCCAAGTTATTTTTATTATTTGGTTTACTATAATGAGAACGGTAAAAATTTGTCGAATAGGTCAAATCTATTCGAACTCATCAGAGAATGGGAGGAAAAAAGAGATTATAGGTTAGATAGTAATATACAGAGAAGTGCACAGGAAACTGCCAGTGTATTGAAACTGCATGAATCATTCGAGATCGGATTCTCGAAATTGGTGGGTACTGGCAGAGATGATATTCGTTCTATCATTTCCGGTTCCAGGAAACGACCCCAACTTTTGATTTTCCAATAGACCACCCTGTATTTTTTTTTCATAATCAGTTAGAAATTATCATAATGAATTGAACGATACCGGGTTTGATAGGGTCACTTCAAACGATTACGAAGATATTTGCTAAGTTTCCATATGCTCAATGAGTGTGATAAAGAAAGAAGTTTCGATATGGCGAAGTCACACCCACTAAGCATATGATGATTTGAAATAACCTCATCGAACTCGGTATCGTTGAAATTGTCATGATAATACCTAACTGATTATCGATTGAAATACAAGGTATCCCTTTCAAATATCAAGAAATGGAGTCGTTTCCGGTTGAACAAGAAGTCATAGAACAAACATTGTTTTGTCAATGAATCAGCTCTCTGTATGTAAGCATATAAGGTTTATATTGAGGTTTCACAATGATTTGGAAAGTATACAATACTTTTTTCTATCAATGGCAAAAATTTGACTAGTTTCCAAGTCCCTTTGTCATCAATCAGCAAACAAAATGCCTTTTTTTTAATAAAAAGTCAACTTTCTTTGTAACTTATTCATTATCTATATCTATATATATGTATATATCTTCATAACCCTCGTCGTAACCTATACAAATGCAAGTCATTCGCATTTTCCTATTCATCTATTAGTTTTGATACAAAAGTCTGGATGGTGTGAATGAAAACTGATATTAGACTATTGTTATTTCTATGATTCCGTTAGTTTTTATCTCCAGACGATAGAACTATTTCTATAACACCCAGTGTAGAAAAAAATTTAGGAAGATAATACACCCCCATACACGAAATTCCCGCAAGGGTTGTAGATAAATTGAGTCATAATTCACTGTATGACCTTTCCAGTTTGATATAAAGGTCAACGTAATAATAAAAATTCAGTATGAATTTGTTTCATGCTATTCACCTATATTCATTGACAAAACAAATACATGCGCATATTTCGATTCAAGTTAATCCATCAATCATGTGATTCCATTATCAATAATCTCTATATTCTTTCCTGAACAACTTTATTGGTCAAAATAGGAATTATTTACCATTACCATTGCATTTGGAGTTCGGACAAACATGATCTTTCAACCACTATGTTGAGTATAATGGCTCAACCAAATTAGAAAAAAGGAATTGAGGGTGCGTTTTTCATTCCAACATTTTATCATGCGCATGAATCGAAGAAACCATCAAACTGTTGAAAAATTCCGCTGGAATGTTGATGGACACCCATCAAACTGTTGTAATAAAATGCGCACTTTTAAATCGCATTTCGAGAATCCAGCAGTTTGGAGGAGATTGAAATGACAGTTGACACATTTTAGTGTTGTTTTTTGTTTTGATTTGATAGAAAACAATTAATATTGAGGATTTTTGAGATTCTTGAGAGATTTTAGAAGAAAGAGTCAGTGTTAATCAATAAAGTCGAATTAGCCTTTTCTGATTCTCAAGATACATGATGACTGACACACAACAAAATCCGTGTTTTCATCAATGTGTTGTATAAACCATTGTTCAATCCTTCCAGCATAAATTCCAACAGAACAATTGGTGACGTCACGACAAAAAAACCGCATCTATCAGTGGGCACTTTCTTCGATGGAATGAAAAACACGCCCATACCGTATAGTATATATAGAGATTTGAAATACCTCTCCAGCAAAGGTTTAACTTGATCCCTTGTACAATTTAAACATTTTGAAGAGTATGATCTTTAGAGCAGGAGGTTGACAGGTTGTTGAAATTGTTTATGCACAAAATAAAATTTCAAAATTGAAAATTGACCCATCCGTGGAAATATTCAGAGATGATAAACATGTAATTAAAAATCGTATCTTCCTATTCTAATTCCAAATGAGAGAACAGTATACGACGAATTATCAGTAGGTATATATTCCATACCTGGATCTGTAGATTCATTATCCTCGTTTGAGCAGCAATTTTGTCCTATTTCGCACTCATTTTCATTTGGTTCTGAATTCTTGTTGATCACTTCATCACACAACTCGTCAAACCCTTTATCTTCATCAGAGAGGTCACCATCTCGCAAACCATAGTGGTTGACTGGTTTCCTCCTCTTATGGATATTTTGTTTCTCAAATACGAGAAACTCCCCTAAGAATTCATCAACGTCTATGGAACACTTTCTTTTCCTTCCCATTTTCTACGATGCTTATAATTTTCTCGGAATTTTACGTGCTTCACATGGAATGAGTTTTTTTATTTCAGCCCGTTGAACACTGCAAACTATTTCTATATATTGCCTTGTTTACCAGAAAGACTGAAAAACTATGAAATATTTTTTGTTCATTATAAATAGTAAGCTTCGAAGTGTTCTCAAGATTTGTTGTAGGTACAGGGCGATCCAACTGCTAGATTATTAACACCACAACATTCTAAGTATAATTTTTTGGGCAATTGAATTGGAAACAAAACTAATTTAGATTCTCATACTGGGTGTTCAACAGTTGTCGATCAATATTCTGCGTGGCATTATAGCCAGCAGAGCTATTACACGGAAAAAAAAGTTTTGTTGCACCAACAAAATAATTTTGGTCATATGTTTTTTGTTGAATTAAACACAATTTTGCGGAATCAACAAAATATATATATTCATTCCAAATAAGCAACCCATTCAAAGAGACAAAATAATTTGATTGAAATATTTGCGTACTTGAACAAAAGTTTCATTTCATTCAACAACATTTATAGTTGACATAAAACAAATTTTTTTGATCCAACTATCATCTCATTGTTCAATCAATCATATGCATTTTGTCTATTTGACGAAATTAAATTAATTTTGACAAAATTGAATTAATTTCGACAAATATATAAATAAATACCAACATCATATTTAGTTGAGTCAACAATCATTTCATTGTGCAACCAATCAAAGGTTTTTTTCTATTCTACAAAATTGAATTGATTATGACAACATTATATTTTGTTGATTCAACACATCACTATCAAGAAATATGTTGTTATTTCAAACAAATCAGTTTGTTGAACAGAACCCACAAGAACATTATATCAAACAAATATTTTGTTGGATGATTATCTAGTTGCATTCTTGCCACCAGGTGGCGTTTCTTCCAACCTTCCTACACTCGCCTCGATTGGGGTGTACATATACCTACCTAAAACATCTGTTTATATAATTATATTAGGCTGTTCTAGAATTTCTCATGACGATGAGGAAATCAATCTCTTATTTCTCTTAGTTCGAAATTCAGTTATTGGATATCATTTTTATTATTCAGCAAAATATGTTGTCAATTCTAAATTCCATTTCCTCTTGATCGAAAAATATATTTTGTTATTTTAACATATTCACTCTCTGGAAAACTGAAGATTTTGTCCCTTGAATGAAATATGAACATTTCAATCAACAGAATCTTTCATAATAGCAGAATATTGTATTGAAGGAACAAAATAGTCTTTGTTTATTCAACCAATTCCTGCTGTTGATTTGAATCATCAATGAGTTGAATCAAATGAATTTTGAATTGAAAACTGACAAATATATTTGTTGCGGTGACAAAATATTTTGTCGTGGATATATGACACTCAGATTTTGTTGAATTTACAAAAATTGTGTAGTTTCAAACAATTTTTTTTCTGTGTATTCTCTGACAATTGAGAATTAAAAGCTCTATATAAAGATATTCGATGAACTGGCATATTCAGGAGCATGCAATTCTGATGACATGAGTTGGGGGTGAGATATTTTCTTGTTTTAATCTTGGATCATCCATCTCTGATATCTGCTGACCTGGAAGTAAATCTCTCCACATTATCAAAGTGAGATTATTTCCTAAAATCTCATTCTGTTTCATAAATGTTTCGGTGATTCAATGAATCTTTTTCTGAGAGTGAATTGAAAAATGTATATAGGTAGTTTTCGTAAAAATACGTGTACAAGCTGTACAATAACTCACTGATAAATATTACGCTGGTTTAATTTCAAATGCAAGGTGAAAGAGTGACAAGTTGGTATAGTCTGAAAAAAGACTAGTCGTTGGAGTCACAGATGTGTAAAACGCCGATATTTCAATGTGAATACATTGTGGCTTCAGCAGGCGTAACTTCCGAAAATGTTTTTATGATGACAGCAGGCATTCATAACATGAATGTTAAGTTCAAGCTTGTATACAGGGTAGATCACATGGTTTTGTTGATTTTCATCGTGAAATTCAGTGTGGTTGATTTCATACGTGTGAAAAAAAAATAGACAATTCGAACCACTATGTTTCCTCTCACAATTCGAATACCTATATTTGTTCACCATCCTATATACATCAATATTATACGGCGTTGCCAATATGAATAGAGTACCTATATTTCCTTTTTTGATATAGAGGGCCGATTGGAATTCCTTGTCAACATCATGGAATCGAAGGGGAAAACGATACTAGTTTTAGAATGGTAACAATTCAACAACCATGGCTTTCGGTATGAATGTATCTTATTTATATCAATCAGGAAGATTCTAGCTACGGCAGTCTATTATGCTTTCTATAACAATATCTCTGTCCTATATAGTACCCTTTGTAAAAAATCAACTAGTCCATCGAATGACTTATTATTTGATCACCTATAGTATATCTGTCTATTCTTAATCGAAATATACTATACTGGAATAATTTTCATGTAGGTATACAGGGTCACACACATAAGTGCATCTAAATTTTCTAGTAGAGCTCTGATGTAATTTTGTCGAACGACGAAGATATGATCATAGAACTGTTTGAATAATATAAGTGGAAGAAGTATCAAACTGTAGATATACTATCAATAATAATCTGATAGTAAATATATTTTTTTGTGTCCAATTACTGAATGTACCTATTTCCCCAAAATTCTCATAAAGCTTTCGCACTTTGTCTACATTCCAGGTATATCGAGTCAATATTTGTCTTGATGAATAGCCAGAACCATATTTTTCTCACGGATATAGTAAGATATCACAATTATTCACTCTCAAATTATCAATTGTCATCAGTTTATTGATAGATATAAGTATATACAGGTCGATAATTTTCCACTTTCATAATTGAAACAGTTCTATGACCATATTTTCGTAGTCTTTTGAAAACATCCCATCAAATCCGGTGTTGTTCAATTTGTTCTAAATGAGGTCTACTTGAATATTATGGAATAATTAAAATATTACCCAGATAACACGAAGACGTCCTGTGTACGTCCAGAGGACGTACATCTGGGACGTACAAGACGTCCTGAAGACGTCCAGTGTCGGTCGAAGACGTCCACAGGACGTATTGGGGACGTCCGATGTTACAAGATGGAACGTCCCAGGGACGTCCATATTAAGTCCAAGTTAGGTATTCCATCGCCATGAATACCATAATCATCGTAGATTCGCCCTTTTTTTACTCAGATAGATAAACAAGACATTTATACAGAGTAAAAAAATATTATTTTGAATAAAAAAATTAAAAAAAAATCATTCCTACTGGGGGATCGATCCCGTGACCTCTGAATTACCGAGCAGATGCTTTACCAACAACTCTACACGACACTTATTGAATGTAAGACTTACCTCTGTTCAACATATGCGAGTATAAGATGGAAACGTAAAAACATTGAGTGCAGAAACACTCCACCAGCTCATTCCAATGGAATTCGCTATGAATCAGTCTGAATTTTCTGATTGGTCATATAAAGACCAGGACGTAAGACAATGTGTACATAATTTCATCTTTAAGTATATCCTCCGAAATCTCTGAATCCAATAAAGAGGTAACACTCTATTTAGGATAAAAATATATATGCGAACATTGCCAGATTTACTTCAATGTCTCCTCATTGGTCACAAAAAATCACGTGATTCATTGTTACCTATTATATCGAATTGATCGGCAGCCATTAATAAGCGGCCCTCATTCCTTCTCCATTTGATCACATCTGGCAATGTTTTATTGTTATTGAAGAATATAATAAATATAGAGTGACTAATGAATATAGAAAAAATGAAGACTAAAAATGGACGTCCTGAAAACGTACGCTCTGTACGTTCCGAAGACGTACGGCATGGTACGTTCTGAGGACGTCCATATTAGGCTCCGGGACGTACGGACCCGAATCGGACGTAATATGTACGTCCCCGGGACGTCGTGTGCTATCTGGGTATATTAGGTGTCCATTCGAATGAAAATGTTCAAGTGCACTTCAGTATAACCATCATAGAAATCCAATTATATATATACTGACATCTATAATATGATATATAGTAAGAATATATGATATGATTTCTATGAGTCTAACCCTGTTCACATACGATTTATTCAGTAGCATGTTTCGAGTGCGCATCATCAAATATACTGGGTGACCAAATTACAATTTATTCGAAGGAGCAGTTGATCCTTCACCGGGGGGCAGGACGTTTCAGTTGAGTCACGGTGTATACTTATAAACATGTCTGTAGTGTTTGTATGAACCCAATAATAATGTCTCTTTACAGGATCTAATGCGCGCGAAGCGTTCGTTCAGAAACTGTCTGTGGACTTCGAACAAATTCGAATTTACCGCCAAACGGTTCAATTCGTGACGTCTACTGCTTAGACGCAAGTGGGCGCAAGCTTTCACACGGGTCACACGCCGATGCCTCTTTCTTCCTCTTCTTTTATTACCTCTTTTCTTCTCCTATGTTCTCTTCGCGAAGCGTGGAGACCACACACGCGTGTTCCCGGTGAAAAATAATGCGGACGCGGCAAGATAAACGTCCGTTTTTCGGAGGAGTCATTTGACTGGTGCGAAATTAGAATTGGATGATGAATGGTGTGCAGGGACAGCTAGAGCTTGATGCAACAAATAATGCGCATCAGCTTCTGCCTGGAATACTATGCAACATACACCAAAGAAATAATCCATTCCGCGTCAGAGATGGCGATCTTTGAATAAAGGATCGATTCTTGGAATCGATTTAGATCGAAAAATGAAAAATCGATCCATAAAAGAATCCAAAGGCAAATAATCGATTTTCATTAAAATCGATCCTCGATTAGATCATGGAAAATTTTCAACAATATACATGAAGAAGTGTGAAAAAGATCTTGACTCCTGAAAATATGATCATTGAATGATCACAAATTACCAACCAAGTTGAGAGAACATTGATAATTCCTCATTTCATTTAGATAGATCTCGTAGTTGAGTGAAAAAACTTGTTTCTCATATAGTCAAATATGTTATTCAGTGTGCATTCTTCTTCGATTCGATTTTAT